CACAATAATGCACTGACACATTATGGCACATGACAGAGAAAATAGGGTTCTGCACCCTCCCTCAATATCCTTCCACCCATCAGGGCTTCCTGAAGTCATGATTTTCCCCACCTTGGATACCATACTCAATGGTGTCAACATATTGCAAGAGGGTACTAAGGCAAATAATGGGTGATATTAAGAACATAGGTTGTTGCCTCCCAAAAAATCCTCTTCCTGTTACCGACTGGATGTGGTATTAATACTGAGTCGCAGAAACAGGGAAAGGCAGGAAACACTGGGCTGTAGTCAGCATATTGGTTGTCTAAATTCATTGTTCTAGCTCACCTAAATTTTGTCATAGCTAAGCATTCAAATAAAGAAGATGTTCCTGGTAACTGAGCCATCCTTCAGTGTATGGTGAGCTTTTAGTCATGCTGGGCCCTAACCACCTTAAAATTTATTACATGCCCCCAGTGAGAATTGGCCAAAAAAGGGGGTCAGGAATTAAACCCAAAAAAGAATGAAGAGAAAGACATGGAATGAGGTGGGAGATGGGAGACACCAGTGAGAATATCAACAGGATTCATTCACAAGTGTCCTGAGGACCCCAGCCCTTTTCAGGTTCAGTTCCTGAGCTGAAATCCATGTTATGATTTCTTCTGTCTTTACCTTTTTACTCCCAGTAAATTTTTCATGCAACTATAACTGCATATCATCCTATGCCTGGAAGAAAGAGGAGTTCATAGATTTCCTTTCCATTGATCTTAAATTGTTTGCCTTAAAAAGGAGAAGGGCATGTAATAGTATGTTTGGACTCACTTGCTTCATGTGAAATGCTTTCATGAAAAGAGTGTTCGATGTAGAAATAGAAGACCTGAGTAGAAATCTGTTCTTTGCTACCTGTTACTTCCCGTATTGACATGATCATAGCACCTAGCATTTCTGGAACTCAGTTTCTTCCTCTGTAAAATGAGGGGCTTGGACTGAAAGATCTCTAATGTTCATTGTAAGTATAAATCCAATTAAAAACCTGCATATACATTGTGTTTTAGGGAAGCCAAATGTTTATGATTCTTTAAGAAAAAGATGAAGAAAGAAACATACGTTAGAAAATAGCAAGGCTTCAGTTGTTCAAGGTCATACTAGATCTAAGGTCTGTGGCCTCTTTGGATTGAACCCAGGAAGAAACAGAAACATGTCCTTGACCAATGTGGGGGAAGTGGCAGGGGTGGTGGGAGGGGACTCTAGCCATGTGTTTGTTCTTTATTGAACATTAAAGTCCCATGAAGAAGTGTGGCAAGAGGAAAGAAAATATCCTTGCTCTCAGGAAGTAAAACTCCATTTCTTTTTCCAGAAAGTTGCAAAATTTCCTCTGAACTGCTTATTTTACTTTTGTGCAAACAAAAACAGGCTATATGCAAAACCGTTTTCCTCTGCTTGTATAGAATTCCTTAATACTTCTTTTGAGAAAGCAAAGGCTGGAACATATTTTCAAGCTAGGGGAGAAATCTGTTTTCAATTCATTAATGCCGCCATGTTTACCCTGGGCGAGAGTAGCCACTTTTTATGACCAAATTAAAAAAAAAAAAGACTTAGAAACTGAGAAAACAAGTTCTATTCTCAAGTGCAAAATGGAGCCATTGGGGGACCTAATGATAATTCTGCCAAGGGATACAGGGATACAAAAAAATAACATTTCAAATAAGGTTTACCATGTGTCCTGGAAGCCAAGACCTGAGAAGACAGCCAACTCCAGACAGTTTGGCAAAAGCAATCTCATCATCAACACTGAAAGTCACGGAGTCCCCAGAGCCTGGGTTCCAATCCTGGTTGGGTCACATCCTACCTTTGTCGCTCTGGGCAAAACACTTCATTTCTCTCTGCCCCAGCTTCTTCCCCAGGCAAATGAGCACCTAGACCTCTTCCAAGTTCCCTTCCAGGTTCCCTTCCATCTTTTTTCTTATGTTTTTAAACATGTATTAATAATAGCTTATAATAATAGGTAGCATTTGTATAACACTTTCAGGCATATGTGTATATGCATGTATGTGTGCATGTGTGTATATACATGTATGTACACACATGTATTTATGATCATTTATAATAGATAGCATTTGCATAACACTTTCAGGCATGTGTATATATACATATATGCATGTATGTGTATATGTGTGTGTGTTTATGCATGTATGCCTGAAAGTGTTATACAAATGCTACCTATTTTTAAAATATATTATTGTTATAATTTTGTTGTTATACAACATTCTAAGAATAATATATTGTTATAATATATATTTATATGTATGTGTATATAAATATATGCATATATATCATATGTATGCATGTGTGTATATGCTCTTCACAACAACCCTGGGAAATTAGTGCTTCTATTATTCCCGTATTACAAATGATGAAATTCAGATGGAGACAGATTAAGTGACTTATCCATCCAAAGTCACAAAGGCAGGAAGTTAACATACATGGATTAAACATTAAGTGTTTTACAATTATTATCTCATTTGATCTCAGCAACTCCATTTTTATCCCCATTTTACAATTGAAGAAACTGAGGCAGACTTGCCAGGGTCACATAGCTAGTAAGTGTCTGAGATAGTATTTGAATTCAGGTCTTCCTAACTCCCAGCACTCCATCCACTGGGCCCCCAGTTGCTGTCTAAGGTTAAGTGACTTGACTAGGGTCACATATTTAATATGTGCCTAAGGATTTTAATTCAGTTCTTCCTAACTTCAGGCCCAATGTTCTACCCACTGCACCAATTAGCTAGTAGTGAGTGTCTGAGGCCATGAACTCATCAGGTCTTTCTGACTCCAAATGTCCAGTGTGCTGTCCACTCTATCACCTCTTAAGGAAAGGGAAAGCCCAAATGATATTCAAATCTTAACATCTTTAAATAGGTATTGCAATTGATAATATTAGGGATAATGCACTGGTCACAGAAAGACACAATTACACTTTACTTATTCTTAGTATACATTAAAGAATTATTTTTAAAGAAAAGAACTGCTCTCCCCACCCTCAGCACTGAGAGGAATTATGCCACCCCCTCAACTCTACATATCCATGTGTTTGCCCATGCATGCTTTCAGTCATGGGTTTATAGTGGGTCCCATTTAAATGGTACTAAGGCAGACTTGTATCTGCCCTCCCAGACAATGGTTCCATTTCTCCCAAGAGCAGGGCAGAGAGTTCATTGCCAATCTTTTCCCTGCTAGGTGCTGCCGCTGCAGCAGTCTCCTAGTCACTGATGCATTAAGGTTGTTTTTTTTTTGTTGTTGTTTTTCTCGTGTATCTAACAGCCAACACTCCCTTCTTCTGAAATGCATAGACCTGCTGGAATGTATGCAGCCTGCTAGCATGCTTCTATATGTTTGTGGATGGTTTTCTGGTTATTTATGGGAGATTGGCGAACAGTCCATATGCCAGGAGCTGGCACCGAGTGAATCAAAACCAACCAAAACTGGCAAAAGGCAAGTGCCGTTCACTGAGACGGGCAGCGTTAGGGGCGCACGGCTGCCTCTACTATAAATATTGAGTAATTGCCCCGGCACCTGCAGCCTTCTGTGACAATTATACTCGTCAGGAGGATTCAGAGGGGAGTTCTTACTGCCATCTCATTAAAAGGAAAAAAAAAAATACGTCCCAATATTCACAGCTCGCAGTGAAGCTTTACAGAACGCTTTACAGGGACGGGGCTGGGGTGGGGGGCACGGGAAGGCTTTTCTTTGGAAAAAAAAAAAGATATTTCTTCTATTTGGGAAGAGTTTCCATATTTTTCTTCCTCTTAAAACATTTAACAAGCCTATGAACCACAAAGAAAAAATAGCTTTAAAAAGTTGTTGGAGGCAAGTGAGTTGAGGGTACAAGGGAATTCGGAGGGGAGCCTAAGCCTCAATGGGGCAAACTTGTCTGTCTCATGATCAGGTTACTGTTTGCTGAGTCCTACAACTGCTGGTTATGAACATCTTATTGAATAAAACTCCTTATGAAAATTAAAACTTTAAACAGATGATCTCCATCGGGGGAGAGGGAAGAAGGAGTTTGGGTTGTTTTCTCCGTGTCGTGTTGGACCACCTCTTTCAACCAGCGATGATCTTCAGACGATGCATTTCAGTTAATTAGTTACCCTGCCTTGATTCTTATTCACTCACTCATTTCTCACTTACCCAAAACCAGCAAGATTTTATGAATTTAATTTTTTTTCCTACCTGAAAAATGAAAAGTTATTTTAGCAACAGGATTGCCAAATTTTCTAGCATATTCCTCAATGAAAAATAAAATATAGTCAGCGGGAAGTTCTTGCAGCTGTTTGGCTGGAATTCCCAATTACCAGAAATGCCCTTAGAGATCCTTTTTGGATTTTTACAGGCCCACATAATGAATTCTTAAGCCAATTTTCTTAAAGTGAACTTTTCTTTAAATATATTAGTATGTGTCTTACCTAAGCACCTCTATGGTGAGTATCTGTGCTAAAGGAAGGGCATGAGAAGTGGAGCTAATAAAATAAAATACCTTACACCTATGGAGTGAGTGCTTCACAATGTACCAACTGCTTCCCCAAGAACAACCCCCAGAGACAGTAAAAGTGTTAGTATTCTGAGTGTATACTTAAGAAACCAGGCTGAGAAGATGCTAAATAGCATGGGAAAAAAAAAGATGAGGTGACTTTGTGTGTGTATAGTGTGTGTATGTGTCTGTGTGTGTGTGTGTGTGTGTGTGTGTGTGTGTTGGGGGAAAAGGGAACATGTAGAAAAAGGGTCAGTAGTGAACACATAAACTAAATAATTAGAGTCTGTGGTTACATTTCTAAAAATTGAAAGAAAAATGCATTTGTGTCTGAAATATGGGTCATTCATTCAGAGGTGGATGTACTATTTTTCAGTTACATTTTTTTTGTCAATTTCTATTTGACATCAGTCATTATGCCTTTCTTAGAACTACATCTCTTCCCATGTTTCTTATAATCTTTTTTTTTCTTTTCCCTTTCTTTTTTGGACAGATGAATGTGCCTCACTTATCCTCACCTGTCTGTTTTGCCAGTTTTTGGATTGTCTTCTAATGCTGCCTGATACTTGTGAAACTGTGTGCATAAATACGTGCTGCCCATCACATCGATACCATCATGCCTCTGATGAGAATCACCCCAGAAATGACTGCAATTGCAATTGTGACGTTGACTGTAGCCTGTTTGAATCTTGCCATGAGACAAGCGAATGCTTAGAGCTGGCCATGGAGATTTCAGAAATCTGTTACCGCTAACATAAGAAAGCATCAGGTCCCCTTAAAAAAGAAAAAAAGAAAAAAAAACTCTTTGATTTCCTAGAAATTTCCCATATGACCAGAATGTGAGGTCTATTTGTTGTAAACATCTTGGACTCTATATATCACATTATCTTGCATCCATTTGGGAAGAATTGCATTCTGCACGAAAGGTCCTTGTTCACAATTTCACAACTGCACTACACTGACAAATAAAATCTTTAATCATAGGTGAAACACAAATCCAAAACAACCGCCACAAAATGTTTTCACTGCATTCCTGCCTCCCAGCTGGCATGCTAATCCCCTCTTTCTGTGACTACATTCACCAGCTTGCACCGTGGATTCAGCCGTATTCCCAAATACAGGGCGACCTGGGGCACTCTTTTAGGACCAACATCCACACGTTAGATCCTCTTCTTAATAGACTCATCCATAAACATCAGGCTTTGTTGGTTACTACTAATAATGGATGATAGAACATCATTCTAGAATTAAAAATTTATTTATACAATCCTTATATGTTCAGTTTAAGTAGAAAAGGGAATTAAACGATTAGGAAGCATGTTGCTGTAATTACAGCCGATGTCTCTGAAACATCTCTGGTGGATTTGGAGTCTGATGTGCTCCGGCGGAGAGCTGTAATTCTAGACCATATTAATCTGTGTCTATGATTATGCCATAACAGGTTATGTCTATTTTTAATTTGTTACAGGAAGGTTCTCCTTAGTTCTAATGAGCATTAATGGGAACTGTGTGCATGTTTCAGGAGGAGAATGACCTCGGTTAATCAATTGCTTCTTTTCCTGATTTCTGTTCATAGGGTAAACAGGAGATTGCAAAAGAATCGCAGTTTTCCTAACTTGAATCTCTACAGGCACTAAAAAGACATAAAAATATAGCTATCCATTCAGCATGGAGCTCTTAATGCAGCATGTCACTCAGACACTGTGGATGTTTGTTTGTTTTTTTTTTCCTTCTGATAAAGTTTGTAGTTATTAGCATTAATAAAAATTTTGACCGCCACAACATACTCGTATAATAACAAAGGACACCATATGAAATAGAAAATGATTTCTTAGCTCAAAGCAGAGAAAAGAAATCACACAATCTCCTTTGAAAATCTTTCTTGGTTATAGCTATTCTGGAATGTACCTTAATTTCAGAAGACTCTGTTCTGTTGTCTTTAGGCAAACAATGCTCACAAATTTGTTCTTGTGATTTTCCACCTGCCTTGACATTACTGCCACTCTTCTTATCAGGAACTTCCTTCAGGATCCAATCTCCAGAAAATCTACTCCCACCCCTCATTCTCCATGTCCTTCCTCTCCCTCCGGGTGGAATTTTGGCTCTCTGCCCTGGGCTTGGGCTGTTCTGATTAGTGGGTTAGTCAATGAAAATTCACTTTCACCCACTATATCTAGTTAGTCCTAGATCATGCCGAACCATCCAGCCATCCACTAGGATGCCAGGGCCTATACAGCATGGGTGCCTTGACATCTGCCCTGCCGACCCCTTTCTTCCATTCCCCTCCCCAGCTCTTTCACTTCTTGATCTGGTTCTGAGAATAACAATCAAATATCCATGGCTACTGGACAGGGTGCAGCAATCTATGGCTCCATTCACAGTCCCTGTGCTTTGCCTGAAACAAAACTCCTCTCCCTAGGAAACCATTCTTTTACATGTCAACCCCTCTTATTAGAATGTAAGCTTATTGAGAGCAGGGATTGTCTTTTTTTCATATTTGCATCCCCACCATTTAGCACAGTGTCTGGCTTATAGAAGGCACTGAATAAAAGATTATTGACCAATTTTAAGAGAACACAACTAATTAATACACTATATTTCCCAATTGTCAACATTTTTACACAAACATCTTGAAACTATTAATTATTGATCCCATCTTTCATTTTTTCAAAAAGATTTTGAAAAGCCTATTAACAAAAAACTAATACTAGCATTAAAAAGCTAAGGAACAGTTCAGTTACATCGGATCATCTTTACCCACTTGGAGTCAATTTCCCAAATACTTGAGTAGAGCTTTTCGTACTCATTTCAGCTTGGGTTCATAGGATGATAGATTCAAAAACTAGAAAGGACCTCAAAGATCTAATTCCCTCATTTTAAAGATGAGGAAACAGTTCTAGAAAAAGGAAGTGACCTCCCCAAGGTAACACAGGTTGTGAGTGGTAGAGCTCAGACCAGATCCTACTTCCTCCTTCTCTAACTATATTCACTTCTCTTTCCCTGAACAACAAGTGAGGTAGCTATCCTCTAATCAGTCAGTCAGTACCAAATCGGTCAGTACCAAGGTTCAAGTCAGACCTACCATGATATTTGGGCTCAAGGTCACTGTTTCCACTTAAGGACATTTGGACTCTATCCCAATTTATACATAGGATATGTGAAGGATGGGGATGATCATAGAATCATTGATTTAGACCTTAAAAGAGCCATTTAATCGAATTCCTTCATTTGATAGCTGGGAAAAGTGAGGCCAGGAAAGCTTCAAAGATTAATGTGCAGTAAGTCTGGAAAGTATGGTAGGCTGGACCCAGTATTCCCTACACTTTGTTATACCTGGCCCCACCACCATCACCAAAGATAATGACTTAAATAAAATACTGGGAGATTAAAGAATTGAAAAATGTTTGGTTCCCCCCTTTTTTTGAATTGCAGCTAGATTCTTGTGCAAGCAGTAAGATGTCCCTCACTTTCCATACTAAGTTCACCCACTGCACATTTTTAGAATTAACTGTGCTGCATGAGAACAAGCCAGTTTTACATGATGTGAAAATATTCTCTTCTTTATAACCCATAATAACACAGCATCCATTTTGCAAACAGGAATGGCTCTTTCATCTTAATAATAAGATCACAGATCAATAGTAGAAAGGAACCCCAGAACCCATCTAGTGCAAACATTTCAATACTTCAATAATCAATAGTCAATAAATATTTATTAAGCACCTACTATGTGTCAAGAACTGTGCTAAGCACTGGAGATGCAAATACAAAAATGAAAGCATCCCTGCCTTTAAGGAGCTGAAAATCTAACGGGGAAAGACAATAAACAAAATGGCGCAAGGAGGACAGAATATGAGAGTATGGGGGACAAGTCAAAAAAATCCATAATGAGTGCAGGCAGAGAATCCAAAGGAGTCCAAAATTACTTTATAGATAAGGAAGCTGAGACTCAGGAAGGAGAAGTGTCTTGCCCAAGTCATATACGCAGTAATCATCAGAGGAGGGTTTGACCCAAGTCCTCTGACTCCAAAGTCAGTGTTGTTGTTGCTGTTGTTTTTTTTTCCCTCTATATCATATGACTCTTTCCACTGTACCAAGAGACATTCCTGGTAAACCCCAGGCAGGTAGGAAAATACAACTAAAAAGCTTAGAAGCACATAAAGGGAGGGGAAAAGATATGGATGTGGTGACTGAATGAGATGAAAATGGCAGAATCTGGGAGCAACACTGGGGTGTTTTTTGCAGCAATGGAATATCCTGCTTCTGAATGTAAAGAATGTGACAGTCATAAAGGAAGAGCTTCCCAGGGACACACAGGCATGTGCATGCACACACACACACACACACACACACACACACACACACACACATACACATATCCCAAAAGTAATTTGAGAACATGCAACCCTTTTAGAGAATCGGGAACTGCGATGTTCCCACAGCAATATAACTTCACAGTCCCAATCTCATGGATTTGCTCCACGGATTTTATAAAAACCACCGTGTCTCTACAAGGCGACAAAATATGAAAAGGATTGGCAAAATGCAGTTACATTTAACTCGTTATTGAAATTTCCCCACTGCCAAAGATGACAGGCCTACAAAACTAATTATCATCTCTGGACAATCAAAGCTAATTGAATGAAATTGTCTTTGGTATTTTCCAAGGGACTAAGAAAACACAGACAAGGGAGCTAGGCAAATAGAAAACATCATGTGGGGCATATTAGAAATTGTTTTAAAGTATAAATGCATGGATGGAAAATGTTGAAATGGGAGTTTCATAAATAATCCTCCACTATAAATTGGAACAAAATAAAACAATGTTAATGAGTTAGTGTAACTTAAGGAACATCACAGATGCACTGGTCAAATGTCAAGTTCTCTCTCTAGGATATATAAAATTTTAAAAATTGGTAAAGCGTCAAGGAATATGTTTACCTACTTTGGGAAATGTTGTCAAACTGTTCATTTAATTGGCTTATTCAGCTTATTTATGGGGCTTGGTGAATTAAAGAGTCTCAGTCCTCAGAAGTAGGAACTCAAAGATCAAATACAGTTATGAGCTCTATAACTGTGAGTGAATTATTTCATTTCTCTGAACTTCAATTTTCACATCTGTAAAATGGAAATATTAATGCCCCAAGGATTTACCTGGAAGCATTGGTGTGGGAATCAAATGCGATAATTTGTATAAAAAGCGTCCTGTAAATCTTAAAGTGCAAGATAAACAATATATATATATATATATACATATATATATATAGCCATTTGTACTTTAAGACCAGATAGAACTGTCGTATAAGCATGTGAAATCACTGGGTTTTGTTTTGAAAAAGCAAAACAAACTAGCATAGTAGATCTCCCTTCAAAAAGAGGGGAATTCGTTGAGGGGAAAAACTGTTTCGTTTTTGTCTTTATTGGCCTCAAAGTCTAGCATAATTTCTGACCCATGCATAGCAAATATCAAATTTGTTGAATAAATCATGTATTTGTATGTATACATATATACATACGAACACACACATCTATATGTATGTACATACAAATAATGTGTGTATATATGTGTATATACACATGTATATCTGTGTGTATATATTGTGTGTATGTGTATGTATATATATATACATATATACACACACACACACATATATATATATAGCGAAGCTACAACATATAGGGTCTCTTAAAGCCCAAATGTGATTTGTCCTTTGAATTATCCACTCTTTTATTTCTCTCTGTCTATAGCATCT